ATGTAAGAAAAGATATGTATGATATTTATTTTGTTATATTTTTAATAAAATTAAATAATAACATTATGAAAATCTCTCTGAAGAAATGCCATTTCTGTCTTGATTTTTCCGCAGTTTGTGTCAACGATACGCACAATATTAAGGCTGCAGTACAGACTTTTACATAACGTTGCATAACGCATAAAGCGTAAGGCATAAAAGAATCAACCGTAAATTATAAAATAAAGGATTCTGATTGATTGATTTTTTGATGTCTTATACCTTATGCAGTGTTATGCAAAAATCTGTGCTGCGACCTTTATGGTTTCCATACAAAAATTGACCAATCACAATCGAATATAAGAATAATCGACTGTGATTGATGAATTTCTTACGACTTAAGACTTTTAAAGCTTAGGTAATGGCTTATTGTATGAAAGTCCATTATTTTAATAAGGAATAAAAAAAATATATATTTACCCCTGGTGGGACTCGAACCCACAATCCCCGGTTTAGGAGACCGATGCCTTATCCATTAGGCCACAGGGGCGGTCGATGGAAGCGTCTCTAAACCACATAAACCTGTCCGTCCAATAATTAAATATTTATTTTTTTTAATTTTACAATACAAGACTGATAAAATGTAATCGATCGAATGCGTAGTATCTTTGTTAAATCGATAAAATTACCATTTTTATTAGCAGATCTGTGCAGGTATGAGGCGTATCCGTCTCGAGACTACAGCTTCGTCGAGCCGGATATCCTGTCGAGTTCTATGCCGACGGATTCCTCGTCCTCGCCGTTAACATCCCCGCCGTTATCAGCGACGTTCTCGCTCCCAGGAACTCTGCTTCAGCCACCCTATCTAACAGCAATGCCACCCTTGATGCAATCGCTGAGCGTGCCTCAAACCCTCTCGACTCCCTCCACAGGTAAACTGCAATTTCTCTGATTTTCATTTTAACGTTCAATTCTTCTTATATACAATCTTTCGATCACACTTCCAACACTGTCTGTACGAAGGCGCTGTATACTTAAGATCAGATTGATAAGGCACAAACAAGTGCCTCGGTAGCGCAGTAGGCAGCGCGTAAGTCTCATAATCTTAAGGTCGTGAGTTCGATCCTCACCCGGGGCATATTTTTTTTTTTTTTCCCCCCATACAAATTGCACTAGTCGTTACGTTTCTTGGTACATACGAAAAAATAATACATATATTTTATCATTGATGGCCAAAACAGGTGCTATGAGCCGTCACTTCGTTACTACAAATGGCATAGCCGCTCTCCATAGAAGACCTAGAAGCGAGAAGAAACCAATCCCGGATGATCAGAAGGATGAAAAATATTACGAGAGACGTAAACGGAATAATCAGGCAGCGAAAAAATCACGAGACGCCCGCAAAATCAGGGAAGACCACGTAAGAATGCATAATCGATTTTGAGACTCGACTTCAGTCTATGTGATTATAATATAATTCTATTGTCGTAATTGTTCGCGTTACAATTTCGAGCTACGTAGTTCAGTCTTTTTTTTCATAAATCGAACAAAAAAGAAATGATATAATAATAACTGTTAACCGGTTAATAAAATACTTGACAAATAATCGCCAATTCTTTTATTCTCAAAATTTCAATACAGTTTACGATGTGAACTAAATTCAACATTGACGAGAAGCAGGTAGCATCAATAGTCATCACCCAGACAGTACACAATATTTATAAAATATTTACAAAATATTTATAAATATTTATAAGATTTATTTTAAATGTTTTGTAAATATTTTTGTGGTATTAGATTGCACAGATCATAAACATTTATTATAAATAATATGAAATATTTATTGTAAATGTTATAGTAAATGCTATGAAAAAATACTTAATGATACATTTATATAATCCAAGTAAAAAATACTTTTTAGAAATATTTATTTATATTTATCATAAATATTACATAAAATATTTGGTTTATATTTTAATAATATTTCGAATAAAGCTTTATATAAAATATGTATGAAAGATCTATATGACATTTCAAAAAATGAATATTAATAAATATTTATCATAAATACCATATATCATAAATACCATTTATCATAAATACCTTGATCAAAAAGTTCCCGGAATTACCACCAGGTGATGCTCTGAATCAGCTGATTTGAGTTCTGTTTTTTTTTGGTTAAGTTGCCACATCTATCATTGACATTTCCA